AGAGAGAGAGAGAGAGAGAGAGCTACTGTTATATAATTAGAAATCTACATGTATATAAACACATTTTAATAAAATAATTTCATTAAAATTAATAATTTATATAATACTTATAAATAAATTAACTGAATAGCATGTAATTCTTTCATCAAATTGTATAAATGTCGAGATCTCCACTCCTTTATTACTACAATTCATTGCAACAAATTATGTGTTAATTAAAAATGGTGTTTCACACAGTGTTTGGGCTAACCATATCATGCTATACGACGTATGAGCCGATCACTAAATTGGCCATAACTCGACCGTATCTTCCTATGAGCCCGGGATATTCACAACACTTTATTTTAATGCCTTAATTTACAATTTAAACCTAATTTGACCAATAAATTGGTTGTAAGGCAATAACTTCATTTGTCAGAAGATTTTCCGTCTTTGTAAATATAATATCATAAACGTTAACTTATATACATTTATGCTTTACATAATATGAAGAATATAAAATCTATAAATGATTTAAAGTTAATGAACAAGGTTTGCAAGTAAAGATAGGTCCTGGTTAACCGCAATTGTGCTGAATTGTGTGCAAAATAAATTATACGACACAGAAAAGTCGTGAGTAAAATATATAGTATAGAAGTGCACTATTAAAGTGCAATCGTGTTTTCCAGTGTTTATGCATTGAATTCACATGATTTTAAAGCAATTCAATTCATTTCTAAACAAATATAAGATGGAATAAATTAAATAAAAAATTGAAAGTCAAGTAAAGCGAGTTCTCAATGCACTGTAAATAACATATTACTGATTATTTTAGTAATAATTCAGTCGTAATAAATAAGTTTACATTTAGTCAATGATAAAATACTTAAAGAGTCCAAACATTTGAAATGTTTTAAGTGAAAACCTTCAATAATAAGATAATCAAAGTTTATTTCACTGAAATGCATTCATGACAATAATAAAGTATTTTAAATTATTTGTATACTTTATATAGAGGTATATTATTAATACAAGCGTTTAAATGATAAATAAAGCGGATTTATAACTTTTATTTTACATCATTTATTTATAATAAAATCTTTATGCAGTATTAACTTAATTTGGAATATTGTAGTAATATTAATATAATGTAGAAATATGAATGTAAGAAAAATGTTACAAAAATTCATAATTACTAAATTTAAACTATTATTAATAATAAGTGTATATAATATTATTAATATACGTGTCTTGCTATAATGCAATAAATGGAAATTCCATAATTTCATTACAATTTTTAAAAATAATTTAAGTTAACGCTTAAGTAAGAAAATATAAAAGTCTAACATTTATAATAAAAATATATAAGATTCAAAATATTATTCAATGTGGAATAATAAATGCTCAGAATTTAATATATATTAACACTTTAGATATTAATGAATAAACGTCAAAATAATTATTCTAATATAAAAGGAATAAATAATTTAGAATTATTGCATTGTTGGATATTTTGTAATTGTAAAATAATATTTGACAAAGATATGTTATATATGCTATATATGTATATGTATTTAATACAAAATGTTTGTTAAAGCAATAGTGGAGGGAAATATTGTATATTAAAAGAGAATCAATTCAAGGATAACATGTTTTTGTGTGAATTGAACTTCATTTCTAATAAGAGTTTTGAATAAAGTTCTACATAAAAGTAAACTTGATTTGAAGCTAAACATGAATTTCATTATTTGAATGTATACTTCAAAACAATCCATGGTTCTATTAATTTTAAAATTTTAAAACTACAATTCAGAATTACATTTGTAAATAATAATGTAGAACCTCCCTTACAAGTGGTAAGTTACCACTTGTACAACATTTACTCGTTATGAAGGCATCATTTCCCTCGTACTATGAAAAGAGGGAATCTTCCCAACTCCCTTGAGAGAAATAACTAAAGCAAAACCAGCGAACATTATTTAACCGATATTTTTATATTGTTGATATATAGCGTTGCCAAACATACAGGAACTTCCTGTATTATACAGGAATTAAGGAATTTTGCAGAATACAGGAAGGGGTAATTCCTGTACATTGAAAAATACAGGAATAAACATTTCTAAAATGAGTTGTAAATTTAGTAATTTTGATTAACTTTTGATACACTGTCTCGGCATATTGCTAAAATTCGTTTCAAAACAACGGTTAATATTTGTTTTTAATAATTGAATTTAGTTTAATGTGAAGTTTTACCTGATACAATGTATTAATAAACAAAATCCTGTATTAATAATGAGTCCGTTGAAAAAACCTCATTAAACATAAATTTTATTAAAAGATATGCAAGAAAAAAATTTGTGATACAGGAAAATACAGGAATTTTCAGCAAATTTCTCATATTTATACAGGATTTTCAAACTATCATTTGGCAACCCTATTGATAGATAATACGCTACACTTTTCAATTGTTTTAATACACCATTTTGGCATAAAAAATTACACATTTATAATTTTATTTATATAAATTTTAAAATTATTTTAATTTGTGTTCATCACTCTCTTGAAAACAAATAGTTGGAATCTTAATCATTATATTTGTCATATTAAACACATCTAAATATTTGAACCAGTGATTCTTATAACACAATATTAAATCCTAACATTACTACTGTCCCATTAGTATTGAAGGTGTATGTACATTTTTACTTCTAATGTACACTTTATTAAAATACAATTCTATTTACATTTCTAAATTGTTAATTATTGTTGTACTTACAGTAGATATAATAGCCTAATATTTAATTAATTATTTTTAATTTTAACAGTTAAAATACGATTTTGTGTTCCCGATTCAGTCTATGATAATTGTGTTCGTATGTCTGACAACGTAAGTCTCCTTTCATTTTATTTTTACCAATTATTGCATCAATTCTGAAGTTTACATTGGTTTTTTTTAAAATTTAATCATATATTTGTTCTGTTCATTAATATTACTCAAATTTGTGCATTGTTTTAAAGTTATTTATAATATTATGACATTTTAAATACTAATCACAGAATAAATGATTATGATATATTGAATATTGCTGTATAATATACTTCAATAAAATGTTAAGATTATATTTTTAGGTACCAGGCACCTTTTCATGCATTAACGCCAGGGATAAGTAATTATTTTTTAAATTACATATAAAACTTATATAACAATTATGCAATAATAAACATACATGTATATGTATACAGATATGATTGTATGCGATTATTGGAGAGGGATGAGGCAGATATTGTCAATTTAGACGCTGAAGATCTTTATTTAGCCGGAAGACTATATGCATTGGAACCGTTTATTGTCGAAGAATTTAACGGAAGTAAGTCTCTCTCTCTCTCCAATAATCGCATACAATCATATCTGTATACATATACATGTATGTTTATTATTGCATAATTGTTATATAAGTTTTATATGTAA